GCTGTTGTTTTCCGCTGCAGGGACTCAAACAGAACCTCTCTGTGATTTTCTCTGCAGACGTCCTGGATGAAGATAAGTTCAGTGTGGAGTTGGTGGTTCAGTGCATCAGAGCGTCCGACATGCCGCAGACGCACAACAACTCTGCTGCTGCTGGGCACCGCCGCCACCATCTTCCCTGTGAGTACACCTGCAACCGTTAGTCCATTATTGTCAGATACTCAATTAAAATCATCTGCAGTCATTAGTCAGGAAACAATGTCTGAGTGTCGGCGACTCAGATGTGAAAATGTTCAGGTTTCTTTTGTCCTCTGTGACAGTTACATTAATATCTGTCACCATTTATGGACCAACGCATTAATCAATAATAAAAAGAATTATTAGAATTAATAATAAAAGAACTCACCTACCTGTGAGTGAACAAATAGTCAGTTTACAGTTTGATTTACCTTTTTTAAAACTCAGATCAGTTCATTTTTACCTTTTTATGGTAGAATGAATGAATCTTATTTTGATAGTCGCAGGATCATTTGTGTTTACTTACTTATGGCGGGTTGAGCCCAAAATAACCAGATATTTCTGTGATTTAATGTCAATAAATGTAATAATGTGTTGCTGAAATTACGACATCATGATGCTGATTAATAAAAAGTCTGAATTCAGATTAACAGCTTTTAAAATGTTTGTTTTCTGAATGGAGTTTGGTTGATCGGCTAACTCAGCTCATAGTAAAGTAAAACCGAGAGCTGGGATTAATAACAGACACACATTGTCTTCCTCTCTTCCTTTTCTGTCCGCTCTCTGTATAAATATGAAGATAAATCTTTTTCCGTCTCCTCTTCGTCCTCCAGGAGAAAGTCCTGCACAACATCATGCCCATCTTCACCTTCATGGGAGCCAACATCATGCGACTGGACGACGCCTACAGCTTCAGAGTCATCGACAAGACGGTTCAGATGGTTATACCTGCTCTGATCAAGGTATTGATCCTCAGACACACAATATCTTCATTAGAGATATAATGTATGATAATAATGGTGATACAACAACAGTATGCTGGATTATTCTGGTTTAATACAACTTGGGTCGAATGTTTTTTGTTATTTTCATGATGTTTTCAGTAATCAGTAAAAAGTTAAAGTTCATTGGTCAAAATATACAAAATGTTTATATATTATATATAATATGATATATATATATATATATATATCATATTATTTATATATTATTTTATATATAATATTATTTTAATATTATTTATATATTATTTTATATATAATATTATTTATATAATATTATTTTATATATAATATTATTTATATAATATAATTTTATATATAATATTATTTATATAATATTATTTATATATAACATTATTTATATATTATATATAATTATAGAACAGGAGGTCTCAAAGAAACAACCAGAGAACACGAGACACATTCTTTAGCAGAGGACAACGACGGTCACAGTGTTAACGTTAAAGCACCATCTGTCCGTCTCTGTTAGTGTTTCAATTCAATTCAATTCAATTTTATTTGTGTAGTGCCAATTCATAACTTCATAATTTGTAAAAATCACCGACTCTGGTTTGGTGGAAATAAATCGACATAGATGATGAAATGAGTTATTAAACACATAAAGCAGATGAATCTGTGTCTGTGTTTGACTCTTCAGGCCCAGCAGCTATCCGTCGACGGCTCTTCGTCTCACGTGGACGCCGTGGTGACGAGGATCGTGCACGTGTTTGCCGACGCGTTGCCACACGTTCCCGATCACCGGCGGCTGCCCATCCTCGCCCAGCTGGTGACCACGCTGGGCCCCGCCCGCTTCCTCTGGGTCCTAATGCTCCTCCTGTTCAAGCTGCACGCCACGCAGACGGCGAGCTCTGTGAGCGAGAAGGCAAGTTGTCTCTGATTATAGAAGGACTGGTGAGAGTCTGGACCACAGAGACCAGGTTTCTGAGTAAGTCTGTGTGTTCTGAGTGCAGGATGCAGCTCTGGAGAGAGACGTGGACTTCTGGATCGCTCTCTGCTGTCAGTTCGAGGTCACCGACCAGCTCACCTCCATCATCAACATCCTGAACTTCCTCCTGCAGCTGCCCGACGACAAAGACGACGGTGAGAATTAAATAATGTGGGCGGAGCCGGGCTGACCATAAAGATGAGAAAGATGCCGAGCGACAGGTTCAGTAATCTCTTATGAACCTGGAACAACTTCTGTTATCTATCTATGAACATTTCTGCTGCTTCACATCAAACAGAGCTTCTGGGTTAAACCTGCATTCTCTCTAACAGCCAGCAGGGGGCAGCTCCACTCTCCACCTATTGAATCTTATGGAGAAGTTGATTGATGAGCTCAGTAAACAGTTTCCTGATGAGTTTCTGGTCTTGCTTCCATACAAGGGCATGATGTTCATTTTAGTAAACTGGATTGGTTCCCATTTGAGGTCAAAGCAGACTAGAATACACAAAAACACATGAAAACGCACCAAACTCAGATCAAACTGTCAAACAGTGCTGATCAGATATGGATCCAGATTCTGTTCACAAACACATTTTACTGTTTATCTGGAGAACCAGATCCTGTGTGAGTACGTTGGTCAGTTGGTTTTATTCTGGGTGTTTCTGTCCTCTGCAGCTGCGGTGAAACGCTCCGTCGGCCGGCGAGGAACCAGGAAGAAGGAGGAGGAGGAGGAGGAGAAGGCAGAGGCACTGATCTTCAGTCTGGACGCTCACAGCAGCAAAGAGCTGCGACACTTCAAGTTCCTCTCCGTGTCCTTCATGGCTCAGCTGCTCGGCTCTGCCAGCTTCATCGGGAAGGTGAATTAGCAGAGCCCCGATCAACCAAACTCCATTCAGAAAACAAACATTTTAAAAGCTGTTTGCTCGTCGTCTCACAGACAGACAGAATTCACCATCATGATGTTAGTTCAGCCTCATTTTGATCCGTTTATTGACATTAAATCACAGAAATCTGTTTATTTTGGGCTCATGCTGCCGTAGTGACACAGATTAAAGGGCCAATATTTACACAAGGATTACATGTGAACAGGCTCAAACTAACAGTTAAAATAAACTCTGTGAATGAGCTGACAAACTGCAGCAAACATTTAAAACCACCAGAGTTCAGTACCATTCAATAAAATAAACAAGCCGATAAAAACCTTTCTATCAGACTAAACTGAATCTTTCTTTCTTTCTGAATCTGAATCTGAATCTGAATAAACAAGATTCAAAGAGTGAGTCTGAGAAAAGCTTTAGACCATATCACATGATCTTCATCAGTGGAGCTTAAGTTCATCATTAACCTCAGTTTAAGTTCTTTAAACTTTATTTTGTTTCCTCAACATCATTTGATGCGATGAAGATAACCATCAGTTATTCTGATTGTGACATTATTGAATCAATGTTTGTATCTGTGCTGTTGATTAATCCATAATAGCCCTGAGATATAGCAGTGGTAATGACTAATATTAACTAATAATATAATATAAACTAATATCTGAGTAACATTCCATGTGTTCCAGGTCGCAGACGGTGACGACGTTGACGATGGGTCTTTGCAGCAGCTGCAGCAGAGGTCAGTTTTTACTCAACAGCAAACGATGTTATCCACTGTGTAAGGAGCTTCAGTCTCAGTGTGTGTGTGTGTGTGTGTGTGTGTGTGTGTGTGTGTTTCAGGCTGCTGGAGGAGATCCTGCGTTACATCCACAGTGTAGCTCGCTGTGTGGAGGAGAACGCTGACAAACCCACCGCCAAGTTCTGGAGAGTTCTGCTCAATAAAGCCTACGACGTCCTCGATAAGGTTCGTTTGATTTCCCTGAACCTTCGTGTTCTGTTTCCATGTGAAGAGTGTGTGACCTTCTACGTTACACCTTCTCCTCGTCTTCTGTCGGCCAGGTGAACTCCCTGTTGCCCACGGATACCTTCATCACAGTGATGAGAGGGCTGATGGGAAACCAGCTGCCGTCGGTCCGGAGAAAAGCGATGGAGCTGCTGAACAACAAACTGCAGCACAGGACGCAGTGGGAGGAGCAACAGGTAACTATTAATAAACCCTTTATTGTTGGCTAAAACCAACCTGGACCCTTGGTAACCGATTCTTCCTGATATCCGTCTCTCTGTCGCAGGTCACTGCGCTCTTACAGCTGACCGGCGACCTCCTGAGCATTGTGGGTAAAGGTCACGGTAAGGTGATGGCGGCGGAGGAGGCGGAGCAGGCGATCAACCGGCAGACGGCGCTCTACAGCCTCAAGCTGCTCTGTCGCAGTTTTGGCTCCGACCACCAGGAGGCGATGGTGCCCGTCCTGCTGCGCACGGTGGAGATTGTGACGTCGCCGGAGGAGGAGAAGAACGTGACGGGCAGCGCTCTGCTCTGCATCGCCGAGGTGGTCAGCACGCTCAAAGCCCTCGCCATCCCGCAGTTACCGAGGTAACGCATTCTGCCTTTTAGGATGCTGGCTGCAGGTTATTTATTTATATTTATGTTCATGTACGACTCGTACAGCGTCGATCAGATCGGCTGAAGTTCCTCCGTCGTCCTGCAGGTTGATGCCGGCGGTGCTGCACACGCTGACCGACAGGAAGGAGCTGCTGACCAACGAGATCTACCTGCTGAGCGCCGTCACCGCCCTCCAACGTGTCACCGAGACGCTGCCGCACTTCATCAGCCCGTACCTGCAGGACGCCACATTACAGGTGAGTGACAGACGCTGCACGCCAACGCAGAGCGCTTTGTTCCCAGGTAGCACTAACATGCTGATGTTCCCGCAGGTGTGTCGGCTGACTCGGCTGGTAGAGTCTTCCTCCTCCTCCTCCTCCTCGTCCTCGTCTTCAGCCACCGCCCAGCTGTCCGCACGTCTCACCTCCCTCAGGAGCACCCTCGCCACCAAGCTGCCCCCCAGGGTCCTACTGCCCACCCTCTGCAAGTGCTACAGCAACGTGGTCGTCGACAAGAAGGTGTGAGAGCTGAAACCTGCATTCTTTCTAACAGCCAGCAGGGGGCAGCTCCACTGGCTGTAATAAAGAAGTCTGATAGTATTGAGACCTACAGCCAGCCGGACAACCCCAGTTAGCTTAGCAACAGTGAGCTCGCTGGATTATCGTTAGCTCTGTCGTTCATTGTTAATGCTAACATCAGGTGTGTTTCCCTGCAGGCCCAGCTGGGGGCGCTGATGAGCATCCTGAAGGAACACATCAGTCACATGGAGAAAGAGCAGCTCAACTTCCACCAATCAGAGCTCACCTCCTTCTTCCTCACCGCTCTGGACTTCCGTGCTGAACACTGCGAGGTCAGTGCGAGCGCCGCCGTCTTCACCGTCTGGTTGTTGTTGTTGTTGTTGTTGTTGTTTGTCTGTGTGACCAGAACAAACACAAACTCGGTGTGTTGTGTTCAGGGCGATCTGGAGAAGACGGCGCAGATCGAGGGCTGCGTGATCGACTGTCTGCTCGCCATGGTGATGAAGCTGTCCGAGGTCACGTTCAGGCCGCTCTTCTTCAAGGTAACGTCCTCGCTCTGAGGCAGCCGGTTGCAGATGAGACTGTCTGTCTGTCTGTCTGACTGTCTGCCTGTCTGTCTGTCTGCAGCTGTTTGACTGGAGTAAGTCCGACAGTAAGGAGCGTCAGCTGACCTTCTACCGACTGTCCGACCGCATCGCCGAGCGGCTCAAAGGACTCTTCGTCCTGTTTGCAGGAAACCTGGTGAAAGCGTTCGCTGACCTGCTGCGACAGACCAACAGCTCACAGCCCGGTGACTATACACTTTATTTCATATTAACAGATATATTTATTATGTTTTATTATTTTCTTTTATCTTTCATTTAATTAATGAAATTATGTTTTTACATTACTTTTTATTCTAATTGTCAGTTAATTACACTTTTCTTTTATTGATGTTTTTGTGTCTCTCTCTCTGTCTGTCTCTCTCCCTGTCTGTCTGTCAGCTGTCTCTCTGTCAGGAGGTGAGGAGAAAAGCTGTCTGCTGCTGCAGTACGTCCTCGACTGTCTCTATAAGATCTTCCTGTACGACACTCAGAGGTTCCTCAGCAGAGAGCGAGCCGACGCCCTCATGAGCCCCCTGCTCGACCAGGTGAGAGAGAGAGAGAGAGAGAGACGGGGAGAGAGAGACAGACAGAGAGAGAGAGAGAGAGAGACGGGGAGAGATAGAGACAGAGAGAGAGACAGAGGAATCAGAACATTTGGGCTTTTTTATATAGAAATAACTCAAAAGATGTCTTTCCTGTTGATGGACGCAGACTTCAGCGTTTAAATCGGTGTCACAAATCATCATAATTGTGAACAGATTAATTCTGGATGATTATTTAAAGGATCTAGACTCTGGGAAATGTTTCTGTTACATGAAGAGTCCACAGGAGGTCGCAGGGCCTTTTTGATTTTAATAAATAGAGTTAAAAGCACCAAGATCTAACCTGATTACCCGTTCCTCTCCGTTCCTCCCCGTTCCTTCCCGTTCCTCCCCGTTCCTCCCCGTTCTTCCCGGGATCCTCCCCGTTCTCCCGTTCCTTCCCGTTCCTCCACGTTCTTCCCGTTCCTTCACGTTACCTCCCGTTCCTCCCGTTCACTTCCTGTTCCTCCCCGTTCCTTCCTGTTCTCCGTTTCCTCTCGTTCCTCCCTGTTGAGCTGGGAACACCCTGGGGGGGAAGGCGTACCAGCATGAGGGTGACCCAGCACTGGATCCCTGTGTGGGGCAGTTTCGGGTGGCGCTGGCCGACGCATGCTCAGTGGGAAAACCCTCAATTACCCGATCTCCTGGAGACCAGACCACCGATCCAAGGTGAAACAGCTGACGCCTCCGTGTGAGCACGTGTACAGGCTGCACTTACAGACCGCACTCAGGCTCTACGTTCTTTACACCTTCCTGATTTATAGAAAGTTTATTTCTTTATGTAGCATCAAGGAAATTTCTTCTCCTCCCCCCCTCCCCCTCAGGGTCGTTACTCCCCGCTGCTGATGCTGATGGAAGTTGGCATCCAAACTGAAGTAAACTTACATGGTGCTGCTGCCAGGAGACCATCCCCTTTTCCTGGGCCGACATGATGGAGGTTGAGTGGACACAGAATCAGAACCGAACAGAATCAGAATCAAACTTGATTAAAAAGGCATCTGTTAGGTTTCAACAATCACAACCTCTGGTTTGGGTGGAAATAAATCCTTTATTCCCGACGTTAGGATGAGTGACTGGTGTCTTTATATAGAGAATGTAATAGTTTAATATCTCATATTAACCTGTGTGTGTGTGTGTGTGGTGTGTGTGTGTTGCAGATGAGTGGGATGGGAGGTGAGCAGCAGGTCCAGAAGGTGGTTCAGGAGATGGGAGAACATCCTGGGAGAACCGCTACAGAGCTACTTCTGAGACAAACACACGGTTTTCAGTCTTCATCAGCTGAACTGATGTTACATTTTTTACTTTGGTTCTTTCTGATGTACACAAATAATCTTGTTGTTGAGTCGCTGCTTTTGTTTCTTTGTAAAGGAAGTGAAAACAAAACTAAAACGGGTCCAGGTTATGGATGCATACAGACTGAGCTGAGCTGCTGCTATCGTAACTTAAGTCCATGAGAAATTTTAACGTTGCAGATGTTAAATATTTACAGCTGCCTTTACAGTTTGTTCCAAATTTTGGTTATTTTTCATCAAAGGCTGTAACACCTCGGTCGACGGTACCAAACATCATAAACAGTCGACGGTACGACATTAAACATCGGTCGACTGGTACTGAACATTAAACAGTCGGTCGACTGGTACCGAAATTAACATCGACGGTACCGAACATTAAACAGATCGGTGCGGTACGAACTTAAACAGTCGTCGACGGTACGAACATTAAACAGTACTTACGGTACCGAACATTAAACAGTCGACGTACCGAACATTAAGGTCGTCGACGTACCCGAACATTAAACAGTCGGGTCGACGGTACCGAACATTAAACATTTTATTTCATAAATTGAACTAAAATAAAAACCTCATTGTACAAAAGTTTGATCAGCCTCAGACTTTATCAGCTGGTTGGGTCTGATCAATAGTTGTGATCAGGAAACATCACAGACCTTCATGGAAGATTCAGTAGAAGAAAGTCCAACGTGTTTATATTCAAACATCACCAACATGTAGAAAAACTACACAACTGCAGACTTAAAGGGAAAGATTATAGATTATTATAGATTATAGATTATTATAGATTATAGGTAAAGATTATAGGTATAGATTATAGTTATAGACTATAGATTATAGATTATAGGTAAAGACTAAGTCAGAGTCAGTCGGTCCTAAAGCACTTTCATTGAACCTGTTGTGAAAGTTTCGAGTTTACAGAATCAGGAACTGAATGAAATTGGGGAGGATTATTTCTGATCAACTAAAACAGAAGTTTGAGTTGCCGCTGTGCCCGTAAAGCTTTATGTTCAGTTTCAGAATGAGTGGTTATGTACTTATTCAGCTGACTGCTCCTATTCCTCAGAAAGACCTCTGACTCACACTCATTACCCAACATGCATCATGTGTAACATCCTGTGACAGTCTCCGTTCAGCCAGAGGTCAGCGATCAATGATGACCTGTTAATAACTAATCAATACATAGAATGACTCCACTGTCAGTGTGGAGAGATTAATGTCTGTTCACTTTTATAATAAAGATATTATTATTATTATTATTATTATTGTTAGTTTTTATTGTTAATGTTTATTAACAAGAATTCACCAGAAGAGAGGGGCGGACACATCATTTACATATTGAATTAAATGTTTAAAGGCTGTAAGTTTGTATGTTTACATTTTATTATGGAGCCTCTAGTTGTTGTTGTTGTTGTTGTTTGTTCTTTGTCAAGTGCAATCGTTAAAAAGGTTGTAACTGAATACACTTTATCTCTTCACTTGGTTAATTATCATTCATGTCTGCATTTGGAGAGCAAATGGGTTAGGTTTAGCGGCATGGCTCTAGGGATGGCAACAACTTTGATCTAGACTGAGCTATATCAACAATTCTGGTTGGATTTGGATTGGTCGAAATAAACTCTTAATTCAGATGATGTGAAAATATTAGTTGTTTCTCCCATCTGCCTCTTTGATGCACGACCACACTCCTCTCCACAACTACATTGGTGAGTTAAGGGTTTATTTTGACCAAACCCGAGTTGGTTATTGGAACAGTGGAAAGACTAACAAAGGTTTTGGTGAGTTTTATTTTGTTTCTGTCAAGTTTGAAGTGTTACAAGGTACAGTTACTGTTTTTGTCAATGGAGTCTGGCTGCTTTGAACACAGCTATATAACTGCTGTTTCTGGTTGAACAAAAAGGTCTATAGGGATCCTTTTGATAGTGTTGTAGGACAGAATAACAACCTGAGCAAAAACAAGCACCTTTAGTTGACGAACATTGATGGTGCACAATTGACTTGAATTCCTTTTTGCACTGTGCTCAAATAACAGTTGAGCAAACCTTGGTCAGAACCTCGGTCAACTTTCTCCTTTCCTATACTTAGATATGCTGTGTGCTATTTGCGCATTTGCTCTAAAGGTGCTTAGAAGTAAAGTGTGAAATGCAGAGGATGGCATCTTCAGTGCTGCATTTGTGCTTATAGGCAAATTGCCAAGTGTCGAAGTCTGGCTCGACTTCTTTCTTGAGCAGAAACACTACAGATTTCTCAAAACATTTCATGACAATAGAGATCAGAGCTACAGGAAGAAAAGCATTATTCACTGTGGCAGAGGGCTTTTTAGGCACTGGTGTTATAATTTACTTCTTCCACAAAGCTGGGACAGTGTGAGTGTCCAAAGACTGTTGGAAATATAAGATAATGTGTTGTTTTGCAAGTTTTTTGGTGTTTGAAGTTTGAAACCTCTGTTCCATTGTTTGCCTGTGCTGTTCTCTTGCATTTGTAAGGAGCTGTTTAAGTTATTTTTGAACTACTGACAATCCTGCCCTATCTTTATTTCGAAAGGCTGCCTTTTTCCTATTTATGCAGTATTTAATTTCTTTTGTAATGTAGTTTATTGTTAGGATAAACAACAACATCTTTTTGTCTACCACTCTGTCCACGCAGAATTTCATCAGTTATGGTAGCTGTAGTGTCATCAAGTTCCAGTGCATGGAATATGGACCAGTCTGTGCACATAAAACACCCCCTTAGTGTCTTAATTGAATCGTCTGTCCAAACATTAACAGTCTTATGTTTAGGTTTGCTTGACTTGAATACCGCTTTTTACGAGGGAATTAAGTGTATGGTATTGTGGTTGTTTGACTTTGACTTTGCAGAATACGCATTCTTAATGTTCTGACATAGCATTTATCTAATATCTTGTTATTTCGGGTGTTGCATCGTACATATTGCTCAAATCCTGGCAACACAGTCTCTGGCTTACAGTGGTTAAAATTGGCTAAAAAGGGACAGACCCCGGCTCTAGGTGACGACTGATGGTGATGATGATGCAAATGAAGAAGATGATGACTACGACAACAACAACGATGGGGGACAATGCAGGACTACTTGTGGTTCTTATAGTCTCGCAGGAGCCAGAGCCTTCAGTTACCAAGCTCCTCTCTTGTGGAACCAGCTTCCAGTTTTGGTTCAGGAGGCAGACAATTGGAGCATCTTATATATAGATAGACATATCAAACATCACTTCCCAAAACCTCTGTCTCTTCGCAAAAATTACCTTACTGCAATAGATTTGTTACTTCATACTTTTGTCCTTTGATTGGAATCATCTCTTTGTAAGATTTCAATACTTGACCATGTGAACTCTATTCCATTAGTGGGCCTATGGCGCTCATTTGAAACTTGAAAGCCTTTTCTTACCGGAGGATGGGGGAGGGATTACAATACAGACGTTTTAATTTGTTTATTATGCCAGAGCTCAGTTCATTTTGAGTCTTCTATTTTGTCGTCATTCGAAAGTAAAAAGGGTAGTTCATACTGTATTTTCATCTGCTGGGACAATACAAAGCAGAAAATGGCCTTGATTGGGGCTGTGGGAGCACACAGTCTGAACCATCACTGGATGAAAGGAAAGATAGGAGGTGGGCAGATAGGTCGAGAGGTTGAGGCATGAAAGGCTATGGCATTTGTTTTATAAAATAAAAGTCTGTTTCCTGTCCTTAAGCAAAGTAATAAGTACCTTCAACAGCTGCCTGAAGTGGTAATCAATTAGGTTTTTGTCTTTTTGTTGCTTTTGTCTGACCAAATGCACACAGGATAAAGGGAACTAATGTGGTGTTTTTTAGATGGTGAAGTTTTGAGTTTCTTTGACACCTTTTCATTTGTTCA